CAGGGGACTCGCAGGAGTCTTCTCCAGCACCAGAGTTCAAAGGCCTCCATTCTTTGGCGCTCGGCCTTTCTTATGGTCCAACTTTCACAGCCACACATTGCAACTGGGAAAACCATGGCCTGGACTATACGCACTTTTGTTGGCAGGGTGATGTCTCTGCTTTTTAGTATGCTGTCTAGATTTGCCATAGCTTTCCTCCCCAGGAGCCAGCGTCTTTTAATTTCTTGGCTGCAGTCCCCATCTGCGGTGATCTTGGAGCCCAGAAAAATAAAATCTGTCACTACCTCCATTTCTCCCCCATCTATTTGCCTGGTGGATCAGAAAACACTCAATTCCTGGAGGAATAATAGGCGCCCGGTGCTGCCATCTAAAAATAAGGATTAAAATGGTCTTTTAGGCGTTCTGCAGGCATATTTTAGCCATCTCTCTCAGTTCTGCGTCCTTCATTGGTATGGCTGCCTCCGGCTTCCCTGGGGAAGTTACCGTTTCTAGATTCCCCCGGGGGAAAAACATATCTAATTTAGTTTAAATCTGTAGCCTCACTCTCTTCCGTGTCCTACTTGAAGCTCCAGTGAGGAAATGTGGCTGTTGGGTTTGTGGTTCTCTGCCAGAGAACAGCACAATTCAGATAGTTCTCAACATGCGGATGTAATGGAGCCCGCTCATTACCGTCATTATGACTCTTGTAAAACAGGTCAGTCATGTGACTGATCTGATTTTATGCTCTTTTCTTGTGGCGGTCATTTAAGCAAGCGTCACGGTTGTAAAGGAGCTGCCACGGTCATTAAGCGAAGGCTACTGTCCTTATAGTGACAGATTTTATCTTCCTGGGCTCCAAGATCACCGCAGATGGGGACTGCAGCCAAGAAATTAAAAGACGCTTGCTCCTGGGGAGGAAAGCTATGGCAAATCTAGACAGCATACTAAAAAGCAGAGACATCACCCTGCCAACAAAAGTGTGTATAGTCCAGGCCATGGTTTTCCCAGTTGCAATGAATAGCTGTGAAAGTTGGACCATAAGAAAGGCTGAGCGTAAAAGAATTGAGGCCTTTGAACTCTGGTGCTGGAGGAGACTCCTGCGAGTCCCCTGGACTGCAAGGCGATCCAACCGGTCAGTCCTAGAAGAGATCAACCCCGACTGCTCTTTAGAAGGCCAGATCCTGAAGTGGAAACTCAAGTCCTTTGGCCACCTAAGGAGAAGGAAGGACTCCCTGGAGAAGAGCCTGATGCTGGGAAAGATGGAGGGCAAGAGAAGAAGGGGACGACAGAGAAGGAGGGGGCTGGATGGAGTCCCTGAAGCAGGAGGCGTGAGCTTCAATGGACTCCAGAAGATGGTAGAGGACGGGAAGGCCTGGAAGAACGTTGTCCATGGGGTCGCAATGGGTCAGACACGACTTCGCAACTAACAAGAACTGTCCTTAAGTGAATCAGTTGGTTTGTTATGGGCACATTTTTGCAGCAAACTAGAAGTAAATGTCGAGTTTGGGGAAAACGTGGTCAAACTCAGACACGTGACCACAAGTGAGGGTGTTTGCCCTTATTTGTGTTTGACCTATGCTGTGTCAGAGTGCTTCTACTCAATGAATAGATACCTCGGAGTCTATAGTTTCGTTTGGTTTTTTTTCTGCTGGTTGTTATTTGTGGCTTCTAATTGTGTAGACCTCTCTGAATCCATGTTGAGTGGTGGCCATATTGGCTGGCTGGATGGATGGATGTATAGATGGATGGAAGATGGGAGATGAATGGAGAATGATGGATGGTTGGGTGGATGGATGGAAGGGGGGTGGATTAACGGATGGGTGGACAGATGCACGGATGGATAGATGGATGGATGGATGAAGGATGGGGGATGGGAGGATGATGGACGGATGGTTGGAGGGAAGGGGGATAGATTAATGGAGGGATGAACACTTGGATGGATGGACAGATGGACAGACACATGGATGGATAGATGGATGGATGGATGGATGGATGGATGGATGGATGGATGGATGGGAGATGGATGAAGGATGAATGGATGGATAGTTGGATGGATGTATGGATAGATGGATGGATGGATGGATGGATGGGGATGGATGAAGGATGGGAGATGGATGGATAGATGAATGGTTGGGAGATGGATGGATGGATGGATGGGGATGGATGAAGGATGGGAGATGGATGGGAGGATGAATGGATGAATGGATGGACAGATGGATGGTCGGGAGATGGATGCATGGATGGATGCATGGATGGATGGGAATGGATGGGGATGGATGAAGGATGGGAGATGGATGGGAGGATGGTGGGTGGATGGATGGTTGGACAGAAGGGGGATGGATTAATGGAGGGATGAACAGGTGGATGGATGGACAGGTGAATGGATGGATGGATGGATGTTGGATGGATGGATGGGTGGTTCAACTGAAGGATGAATAGATGGATGGTTGAATGGGATGAATGAATCTATGTATGTTTGGATGGATGGATGGATGGATGGATGACTCCTGTTTATTCTGTGGCCTCAACCACGGAGTCCCTTTGCAACAATGCAGCATTGATTTGCCAATGCTTTCTTCTGGTGTGTGTTTTGGGGGACTTTCCAGACCTTCCCCCACTTCTGGAATTTCCCAGAGCTTCCCCTTAGAGGGCTAATTGTTGGCTAGGTTTGGGGGAAGTTGGGAAAGGTAGCTAATTCTGCCCTCCTCTTTCTCCAGGTCAGGAGAGTGGTGGCGAGCCAAGGCCCTTTCAACGGGCAAAGTGGGCTTCATTCCCAGCAATTATGTGGCCAAGGCCAACTCACTGGAGACCGAAGAGTAAGTCCTCTCAACCTATCAAAGGGAGGGACCTTCTTAGTAGAACACTTGGTTTTAGATCTCCCCCTGATTCCAGCTCTGGACTATAGAGGTACATGGGTTTAAACGTTTGTCTGCTTTGGTCCTGTCAACATCCAGCTAGAGAATCACAAATAAAACTCCAGGTTCATGTAATAATAACAATAATAAAGTTGGAAGGGACCTTGGAGGTCATCTAGTTCAACCCCCTGCTCAGGCAGGAAACCCTGTATACCATTTTGGACAAATTGATGTCCAGTCTCTTCTTAAAAACCTCCAGTGTTGGAGCATTCACCACTTCTGGAGGCAGGTTGTTCCACTGGTTAATTGTTCTCACTGTCAGGAAGTTTCTCCTTAGTTCTAGGTTGCTTCTCTCCTTGGTTAGTTTCCATCTGTTGCTTCTTGTCCTGCCTTCAGGTGCTTTGGAGAATAGCTTGACTCCCCTCTTCTTTATGGCAGCCCCTGAGATATTGGAAGACTGCTATTATGTCCTCCCTCGTCCTTTTCTTCATTAAACTAGACATACCCAATTCCAGCCACTGTTCCTTCTATGTTTTAGCCTCCAGTCCCCTAATCATCTTTGTTGCTCTTCTCTGTACTCTTTCCAGAGGCTCAACATCTTTTTCATTCCATTTAGAAAATCTTTGTGTTTATTGAATACACTGTGTGGTGATTGTGGAAGCAAAACTAACTCCAAGGTTCCCATGCCAATTCACAGACTTAAACGTTTGATAGTGTTCCCAGGCAAAACCCCCAACGTCTTTCATAATCCATATCAACAAGTCGACTTTGTTATGGCAACCAAATTGACACCTGTTCTGGTGTCTTTCTAACTCTTGGTCTGCAGCTGAATCGAAGGAGTTTCGTTTCTCTGTCTCTCCACTTGAAAGTAACACCTTCACCACCACCCCCTTAATGTAAAGGCAAGTTGCAACGCAGAGGCAGGTAGCTGCCAAAGTTTCATCCTGTAAGCAAAAACTGGTGGGATCATAAAATAGAGAAAGTCATAGAAAATGATAAAATTAAACTGCTCTGGGACTTCAGAATTCAAACAGACAAGCATCTGCAACATAACACCCCAGACTTAACAATTGTCGATAAGAAAGACAAAAAGTCTGGATAGTGGACGTGGCAGTGCCTGGAGACAGCAGAATAGAAGAGAAAGAACTGGAGAAGATAACAAAATACAAAGACCTACAAATAGAAATAGAAAGACTGTGGCAAAGGCAAGCAAGGGTAGTACCAATAGTCATAGGCTCCTTGGGTGCAATCCCAAAACAACTGGAGCACCACTTGAACACCATTGGAATTGACAAATTCGCCATTAGTCAATTGCAAAAGGCGGAACTGCTCCCATCCTGCGACGATATCTGTAATACCATCAAACATCCACATCTGCCTATCCCAGGTCCTGGTAAGGACTCGATAGGTAGACAAAATGCCAAATCCAGTCTGAACATCTGGCTGACTGTGCGATGATCCATAATAATAATAATAATAATAATAAGAAGAAGAAGAAGAAGAAGAAGAAGAAGAAGAAGAAGAAGAAGAAGAAGAAGAAGAAGAAGAAGAAGAAGAAGAAGAAGAAGAAGAAGAAGAAGAAGTAGTTGGACGGGACCTTGGAGGTCATCTAGTCCTACCCCCTGCTCAGGCAGGAAACCCTATACCATTTCGGACAAAGGGCTGTCCAGTCTCTTATTAAAAACCTCCAGTGTTGGAGCATTCACCGCTTCTAGAGGCAGGTAGTTCCACTGGTTAATTGTTCTAACTGTCAGGAAGTTTCTCCTTAGTTCTAGGTTGCTTCTCTCTTTGGTTAGTTTCTATTCTATTCTATTCTATTCTATTCTATTCTATTCTATTCTATTCTATTCTATTCTATTGGAGGTCATCTAGTCCAACCCCCTGCTCAGGCAGGAAACCCTATATAGTACCATTTCAGACAAATGGCTACCAGTGTTGCATGCTCTTAAAAGTTTATCCAGGAACCTTTCTCGTGCCAGGAGGAAACTTGGGGCGAGGCAGAGCATGAGAAAGGATTTTATGCATGATTTCATTCTAACTGTCTGTTCCTCGTCGACCTTAGGTGGTTCATGACAGGTATCAGCCGGAAGGATGCTGAGCGTCACCTCTTGGCTCCAGGAAACTTTATCGGCTCGTTCATGATCCGGGACAGTGAAACAACTAAAGGTAGATTATTTAAAGCCTGGCAACTAAAACATACAAAGAACAGTTGCGGGATTTGGGTATGTCTAGTTTAATGAAGAGAAGGACGAGGGGGGACATGATAGCAGTCTTCCAGTATCTCAGGGGCTGCCCCAAAGAAGAGGGAGTCAAGCTATTTTCCAAAGCGCCTGAAGTCAGGACAAGAAGCAACGGATGGAAACTAATCAAGGAGAGAAGCAACCAGGAACTAAGGAGAGATTTCCTGACAGTGAGAACAATTAACCAGTGGAACTACTTGCCTCCAGAAGTTGTGGATGCTCCATCACTGGAGATCTTCAAGAAGAGACTGGACAGCCATTTGTTGGGAATGGTATAAGGACTTTGCTTTGAGCAGGGGGTCGGACTAGAAGACCTCCAAGGTCTCTTCCAGCTGTTATTCTCTTCTGTTAGTTTAATGAAGAGGGGGGACATGATAGCAGTGTTCCAATATTTGAGGGGCTGCCCCAAAGAAGAGGGAGTCAAGCTCTTCTCCAAAGCACCCGAAGGCAGGACAAGAAGCAATGGAGGCAAACTAATCAAGGAGAGAAGCAACCTGGAATTACGGAGAAACTTCCTGACAGGGAGGACAATTAACCAGTGGAACAACTTGCCACCAGAAGTTGTGGGTGCTCCATCAAAGGGGGAGGGGGGTTAAGAAGAGATTGGACAAGCATTTGTCTGAAATAGTAGAGGGTCTCTGGCTTGAGTAGGGGCTTGAGCTAGAACAGTGGTTCTCAACCTTTTTAATGCCGTGACCCCCAACCGGTCGTAAGTCGAGGACTACTCAACCGGTCGTAAGTCGAGGACTACTCAACTGGTGCAGCACCGTTTGCAGAATGGGACTTTTGGCGGGCTCAGCAGGGCAGAGACAGCCTGGGCAATTCCTATTGGCTTTTGAAAGCCAATAGAATTAGACTCTATTCAAGAGAGTCTATTCTATTGGCTTTCAAAAGCCAATAGAATAAAAGGGAGTAGCACAGCTAAGGAAAAGGGGAAAAAAATGGCGGACTGCGTTGTTTGGCGACCCCCGTGAAATGGCCGTTCGACCCCAAATGGGGTCCCGACCCACAGGTTGAGAACCACTGAGCTAGAAGATCTGCAAGGTCTCTTCCAGCTCTATTCTGATTGATAGATCCCTTTTCCAGGGCGGGTGGGGGATAGATCCACTCTTACTGCTGGCGTCAGTAAGCGAGACGTTGCATCTGTCCACGTCTGCTTCTCTTTTGAGAGGTAGATTTTAAAAAAAAAGAATTGACTTCGCTTCTCGCTCCTCTTCCTGTCTGTCCCGGTCCCAGGGAGTTACTCCCTCTCCGTAAGAGACTTCGATTCCCAGAACAAAATGGAGGTGGTCAAACACTACAAGATTCGAACTGTGGACAACGGGGGTTTCTACATCTCCACCCGGAGAAACTTCCGCACTCTGCAGGAACTGGTCAGCCATTACCAAGGTGAGTCTCCCAAATCTAACAGCTGACGAGCCACGTTTTTACACCGGAGGAGGTGGGGGGGGGGAGAAATGTCCGTCCGTTGGATCCTGGGTTAAAAAAATCCACCCCTTTCGACGGACAAGAAACGGGTCAGAAGGGGGTGACCCAGCCTCTTTGCAATGGTGTGTGGGAACGGCGGTGGGAGAGGAGGAAGAACTGTTGAGCAGGCAGCAATCAGATAATACCCAGGTCTGCAAACTGGGCAACTTTAAGATCTGTGGACTTCAAGTCCCAGAATTCCTCAGCCAGAATGCTAATAAGCTTTAAGATGGGTGAACTTCAAGTCCCAGAATTCCCCAGCTAGCCCTGCTCTCTCTCCCTCTCTCTCTCTCTTTCGTTATCTCTCTTTTTCTCTTTCTCTCTCTCCGTCTCTTTCCCTCCCTCCCTCTCTCTCCCTCCCTCTTTCCCTTTCTCTCTCTCTCTTTCGTTCTTTTTCTCTCTCTTTCTCTCTCCCTCTCTTTCCTTCTCTCTCTCCCTCCCTCCCTCTCTCTCCCTCTCTCCCTCCCTCTTTCTCCCGTTCTCTCTTCCGTTGTCTCTTTCTCTTTTTCTCTTTTTTTCTCTTTCTCTCTCCCTCTCTCTTTCTTTGTCTCTTTTTCTCTCTCTTTCTCTCTTTCTCTCTCCCTCTCCCTCCTTCTTTCTCTTTTTCTCTCCCTCCTTCTTTCTCTTTCTCTCTCCCTCTCTCTCTCTTTCTCCCTCTCTCTTTCGTTGTCTCTTTTTCTCTCTCTTTCTCTCTTTCTCTCTCCCTCTCTCCCTCCTTCTTTCTTTCTCTCTCCCTCTCTCTCTCTCATTGTCTCTTTCTCTCTCCCTCTCTCTTTCTCTCCCTCCCTCCCTCTCTCCCTCTCTCCCTCTCCCTCTCTCTCTCTCTCCCTCTCTCTTTTGTTGTCTCTCTCTCTTTCTCTCCCTTTCTCTTTCTCTCTTTCTCTCTCTCCCCCTCTCTTTCTCTCCCTCTCCCCCCCATCTTGTATTTCTGAGTGCGCCCTTTGATTCGGCTACCTCCCAGTGAACTTCAACTCCCAGAATCCCCCAGCCAGCATGCTAATAAACTTCAGGATAGGTGGACTTTAAGATTAGCTGGCAGAGGAATTCTGGGAGTTGAAGTCCACCCGTATTTAAAGTTGCCAAGGTTGAGAAACTCTCGTTTAGAAAAATGATACACACATACACCCACACACACACACACACACACACCGGTCCTGCAATGTCCTCTGGGGTCTCTTTCAGGCCAAGCCGATGGGTTGTGCCAGAAGCTGACCCACCCCTGCGTGTTGCCGAAACCCGAAAAACCCTGGGAGAAGGATGCCTGGGAAATCCCCAGAAGCTCCCTGAAACTGGAGAAGAAGCTGGGAGCCGGACAGTTTGGAGAAGTCTGGATGGGTAAGGTCCACGAAGGCCGGGCCTTGGATCCGACCTGTTCTGTGCCAGCCTACGTTACGCTCCCAAGGAAAAAAACTTTCTTCCAAGAAGCAGGCTGGAACCGCCAGAAAAAACCAACCCCTTTTATTACTCACAGACCTGAGTCAATGTCCAAGTCCAACAAACAGAGTCCACAGAAACTCGATCCTCGACACAAACGGCTGCCTTTGGCCACCAGCCCCTCCCACACCTTCCCTTTTATGATTCAGCCCAGGCGTGGCTTCCTAATACCTTCTCCTTTGCCTTTGGAGCCGCCCCATTGCATCCCTCTGTCCTGCTCTCTTTGCCTGCCGGCGCATTCGTGCATCCGGGATTTGCCCCAGCTGTTCTTCATCACTGTCCAACTCAGGCTCCCGGCACAACTGCGTCTCAACCTGAGCGCGAATAGAGGGGCCAGGCTCCTCGTCCGACTGTAAGTCTTGTAGCTCCTCGGAACCTTCCTCCGACTCTGATGTCACTCCAGGCCCCTCCTCCTCCTCCTCCTCCTCAGACTCAGCTGCCGGGTCCACTGGCTGGCGAGGAATCATAACATGACCAACATTCTCTGCTACGCAACTTTGGTTTTTGAACGTGTCCTTTTGATTGCAAAGGATACACAATTAAAACCCCCACCACAATTCCCAAGGGAGATATTTCTCATTCACTCATTCATTCATTCATTCATTCATTCATATGGCTGCCCATCTCAAATGGATGACCCAGGGCAGTCCTTGGTGTCTCTGAACTTTCTGACAATTCCCAAGGGAGATATTTCTCATTCACTCATTCATTCATTCATTCATTCATTCATATGGCTGCCCATCTCAAATGGATGACCCAGGGCAGTCCTTGGTGTCTCTGAACTTTCTGATTTCCTTGCCGATATTTCATGACCCAGCTAGGAAACATGGAGGAGGAGGAGGAGGAGGAGGAGGAGGAGGAGGAGGAGGAGGAGGAGGAGGAGGAGGACTGTGGGGTCCTTGATGCTCTCTGGACTTGGTTGTTTTCTTGTAGACATTTCATGACCCAACTGGGGAACATGCTCAGTGTTAGGTGGTGGTGGTTGTGGTGGTGGTGGAGGAGGAGGAAGAGGAAGAGGAGGAGGAGGAGGAGGAGGAGGAGGAGGAGGAGGAGGAGGAGGAGGAGGAGGAGGAGGACTGTGAGGTCCTTGATGCTCTCTGGACTTGGTTGTTTTCTTGTAGACATTTCATGACCCAACTGGGGAACATGCTCAGTGTTAGGTGGTGGTGGTGGTGGTGGTGGTGGTGGTGGTGAAGGAGGAGGAGGAAGAGGAGGAGGAGGAGGAGGACTGTGGGGTCCTTGATGCTCTCTGAGCTTGGTTGTTTTCTTGTAGACATTTCATGACCCAACTGGGGAACATCATCAGTGTTAGGTGGTGGTGGTGGTGGTGGTGGTGGTGGTGGTGGTGATGGTGGTGGTGGTGGTGGCGGAGGAAGAGGAGGAGGACTGTGGGTTCCTTGATGCTCTCTGAAGTTGGTTGTTTTCTTGCAGACATTTTATGACCCAACTAGAGAACATTATCAGTTGTAGAAGCAATTGGAGTGTGTTGTTACCTAGTTGGATAATAAAACGTCTGCAAGAAAAACAGCCACGCTCAGAGCACCAAGGACTCTGCAGTTCAGGGTCTTCAAACTGGGCCCTTTGATGACTGGTGGACTTCAACTCCCAGAATTCCTCAGCCAGGCAGAAGGAATTCTGGGAGTTGAAGTCCACCAGTCATCAAAGGGCCCAGTTTGAAGACCCCTGCCTCAGTTCAACCCTGAGCCACAACTATTCTCCTCCATTGGCTGCGGAATTCTGGCAGTTGAAGTCCACAAGCCGTGGTTGCCCACCTCTCTTCTAAAGCCGGCCTTTCCTGCCTCCACAGCCGTCTATAACGCACACACGAAAGTGGCGGTGAAGACCATGAAGCCGGGCAGCATGACGGTCAAGGCCTTCCTTGAAGAGGCCAACATCATGAAGACCCTCCAGCACGACAAGCTGGTCAGGCTCCATGCGGTGGTGACCAAGGAGGAGCCCATTTTCATCATCACCGAATTCATGGAGAAAGGTGAGGACAAGCATTGCCCATCGTGGCTTATCTCAGCCCGGCACCCTCCATCGTCGACTTAGTCCTCAGCTTACGACCACAATTGAGGTTGTCCTCAACTTAAGACCACAATTGAGGTAATCCTCAGCTTACGACCACAATTGAGGTAGTCCTTTACTTACGACCACAATTGAGGTAGTCCTTCACTTACGACCACAATTGAGGTAGTCCTCAGCTTAGACCACAATTGAGGTAGTCCTCAATTTATGACAATTGAGGTAATCCTCAGTTTACAACCACAATTGAGGTAATCCTCAGTTTATGACCACAATTGAGGTAGTTCTTCACTTACGACCATAATTGAGGTAATCCTCAAATTACGACCACAATTGAGGTAGTCCTCAGCTTACGACCACAATTGAGGTAGTCCTCAATTTATGACAATTGAGGTAATCCTCAGCTTACAACCACAATTGAGGTAATCCTCAACTTATAACCACAATTGAGGTAGTCCTCAATTTATGACAATTGAGGTAATTCTCAGTTTACGATCACAATTGAGGTAATTCTTCACTTACGACCACAACTGAGATAATCCTCAGTTTACGACCACAATTGAGATAATCCTCAGTTTACAACCACAATTGAGGTAGTCCTCATCTTATGACAATTGGGGTAGTCCTCAATTTATGACAATTGAGGTAATCCTCATCTTACAACCACAATTGAGGTAATCCTCAGTTTACAACCACAATTGAGGTAGTCTTTCACTTACAACCACAATTGAGGTAATCCTCAAATTATGACCACAATTGAAGTAGTCCTTCACTTACAACCACAACTGAGGTAATCCTCATTTTACGACAATTACGACCACAATTGAGATAGTCCTCGACTTAACGACCACAATTGAGGTAATCCTCAATTTACAGCCAAAACTGATGTAGTCCTCGACTTACGACCGCAATTGAGGCACTTGTGAACTGAATCTGGATCTTAATCTCGATGTACGACCATAATCCAGCCTGAAACTTTTGTGGCTAAATGAAACATTGGTGAAGTGATTTTTGCCCCATTTTACGACCTTTCTTGCCGCAGTTCTGAAGTGAATCACCGCAGCTGTGAGGTTAGTCACACGGTCGTGAAGTGAATCTGGTTTCCCCATTGACTAGCCTTTTCAGAAGGTCGCAAAAGGAGATCCCAGAATCTCCCCCCCCCCCCCAAGAAACGTCCCACTTGTCTTAAAAGGATCTCCTCTTATCTCCACAGGCAGCTTGCTGGATTTCTTGAAAAGTGAGGAAGGCCAGGAGCAGCCTTTTCCCAAGCTGATCGACTTCTCTGCCCAGGTGAGTGTGTGGAATAACAGAACAACAGAGTTGGACGGGGCCTTGGGAGGTCATCTAGTCCAGCCCCTCCTCTCAAGCAGGAGACCCTATATATATACATACCGTTCAATGCAGAAAGCCCAAAAGCGATAATCAAGGCTCACTGCAGCATTTATTTATTTAATCAGAGCGCACTGGGGGAATTTCCCTCCAGAAAATTATGGGAGGGACTCCTGCAGAGAGAAATCACATTTATCTATTTCAGGAGAAAAATCATAGAGTCACACGTACGCGTAGGGAAGAGAGCAGGGGTGTGCAGCTTGACAACTTTTAAGACTTGTGGACTTCAGCTCCCAGAATTCCTCGCCCACCCCCAAAATAAGCCCCAGTTAAGATCATCAGCCGGACGGACGCATTTAGTACCATATTTCCTTAAAAATAAGACCTAACGTCTCTCTCTCTCTCTCTCTCTCTCTCTCTCTCTCTCTCTGTGTGTGTGTGTGTGTGTGTGGGTGCGTATGTATACATACACACACACACACACATATACATATACATACATTGAGTGTTTTTTGGATGCACCCTGTCGGCCCAAATATGGGAGAAAGAGATCTTTCTGTTTGGCTGATGAGAGCTAATTAGCTCGAAATAGCTATTCCATTCTCCCTTAATTCTTTATTAGCAATCCAGATTTTTTAAAAAAATACATACATACATATTACCTTGAGTGTTTTTTTGATGCACTGTTGGCCCAAATATGAGAGAAAGAAATCTCGATAGATAGATAGATAGATAGATAGATAGATAGATAGATAGATAGATAGATAGATAGATAGACAGACAGAGAAAGAGAGAGACAGAGAGAGAGAGAGAGACAGAGAGAGAGACAGAGAGAGAGAGAGGTATATATTTGTGTGTGTGTTTGTGCGTGTATATATGGAGGAAGAGAGAAACAGAGAAATGGGGTGAGAGAAGGGGGAGAGACAGAGACAGAGAAAGAGAGAGAGGGAGTGTGACAGAGAGAAAGAGGGAGTATGAAAGAGGGAGAGATGGGACAGGGAGGGAGAGAGAGAAAGAGAGAAGGAGGAAGAGAGGCGGGAAGGAGGGAGAGAGAGAGAGAGAGAGAGAGAAAAAGAAAGGGAGTGTGTGAGAAAGAGGGAGAGAGAGGGAGAAAGAGAGAGAGAAAAAAGAGGGAGTGTGTGAGAGGGAGAGGGGGAGAGAGAGAGAGAGGGAAAAAGAGAGGTGGGGAGAGAGAGAGAGAAAGAGAGGGAGGGAGAGAGAGAAAGAAAAAAGGGAGTGTGAGAGAGAGGAAGAGGGGGAGAGAGAGAGAGAGAGACAGGGAGAGGGAGGGAGAGAAGGAGAGAGAGAGAGAGAGAGAGAGAGAGCAGGGCTACCTGGGGAATTCTGGGAGTTGAAGTCCACAGCTCTTAAAGTTGCCAAGGTTGGACAACCCGGATCTCAAGTCTCCAAATGTCACGTGGCCAGAGAGGGAGTGTCCATCAAAACTTCGAATCCAGGTCATATCTTTTGCGAGAGGGTCCACGCTAACATCCGGCCAGTCCTAAGTTGAGGACTCTTGTAAAATCAGTCGTAAAGACGCGGCTTTTTTCGGGTCTTCCCCCTTTAATGGAGCTGTCCTCTCCCCTGGCAGGTGGCGGAAGGCATGGCCTTCATTGAGCACAGGAACTACATCCATCGTGACCTCAGAGCCGCTAACATCTTGGTGTCGGCCGTCCTGGTGTGCAAGATTGCGGACTTTGGCTTGGCCCGTGTGATCGAGGACAACGAGTACACCGCTCGGGAAGGTAACAAAGCCAGCGCAGCCTTAGTGTGTGCATCCTCCACGTTGATGGACAATGTAGATTTGACTTTACGCCCTTCCTCCCCGATCGGAGCGCCTGGAGATCAGGGGTCCTCAAACTTGGCCACTTTTAAGACTTGTGGACTTCAAGTCCCAGAATTCCCCAGCCAACCACAAGTCTTAAAGTGGCCAAGTTTGGAGAGTTGGTGGCTAGGGAATTCTGGGAGTTGAAGCCTCTTCTTAAAAACCTCCAGTGATGGAGCGCCCATGATTTCTGGTGGCAAGCTGTTCCACTGGTTAATTGTCCTCACTGTCAGGAAGTTTCTCCTCAGTTCCAGGTTGCTTCTCTTTTTGGACAGTTTCCAACCATTGTTTCTCGTCCTTCCCTCTGGTGGTGAATAATGTGACCCCCTCCTCTTTGTGGCAGCCCCTCAAATACTGGAATGCTCCTATCATGTCTCCCCTATTTCTTCTTTTCTTTAGACTGGCCAAACCCAAGTCCCGCAGCTGTTCTTCATATGTTTTAGCCTCCAGGCCTTGGATCATCTTAGTTGCTCTTCTTTGCACTTTTTCCAAGGTCTTGACATCTTTTTTCTAGTATGGTGACCAAAATTGCTTGCAGTATTCCAGGTGTGGTCTCCCGAAGGCGGGACCAGAACCCAGCGTCCCCCACTCTCTGCCTGCTACCTTCAGCACTAAGCCAAACTGATAACATTAGCGGTTGCCAGCTGCCGTTTTCAGGCTCAATCTAACTATCTTGTTTTTGGATTCTGGGCAGGCGCCAAGTTCCCCATCAAGTGGACGGCCCCCGAAGCCATCAACTATGGGTCCTTCACCATAAAGTCCGATGTGTGGTCCTTCGGCATCTTGCTGATGGAGATCATCACCTATGGGCGGACCCCGTATCCAGGTATGTAGCAGGAAAGCTTGACCTTGCCTAGGAAACGGTTAAGATGGCCTCACTTCTTTCGTTTCATCCAGCAAGACTCCAATAATAATAATAATAATAATAATAATAATAATAATAATAATAATAATAATAATAATAATAATACATTAAAAATAGCTGGGAAAGCAGATAATAACAAGACCTGGCAATGGCTAAGAGCAGGAAGATTGAAGAAAGAGACCGAGGGACTAATTCTGGCTGCACAAGACCAAGCCTTAAGGACAAATGCATACAAAGTCAAAATTGAGAAGACAGCAACAGACAGTAAGTGCCGCCTATGCAAAGAAGCTGAAGAAACAGTGGACCACTTGGTAAGCTGCTGCAAGAAGATTGCACAGACTGACTACAAGCAGCGGCATGACAAAGTAGCAACAATGGTGCATTGGAAGATCTGCAAAAAATATCATTTGCCTGTAAGCAAAAACTGGTGGGATCATAAAATAGAGAAAGTCATAGAAAATGATAAAATTAAACTGCTCTGGGACTTCAGAATTCAAACAGACAAGCACCTGCAACAGAACACCCCGGACTTAACAATTGTCGATAAGAAAGACAAAAAAGTCTGGAGAGTGGACGTGGCAGTGCCTGGAGACAGCAGAATAGACGAGAAAGAACTGGAGAAGATCACAAAATACAAAGACCTACAAATAGAAATAGAAAGACTGTGGCAAAAGCAAGCAAGGGTAGTATCAGTAGTCATAGGCTCCTTGGGTGCAATCCCAAAACAGCTGGAGCACCTCTTGAACACCATTGGCATTGACAAATTCGCTGTTAGTCAATTGCAAAAGGCGGCCTTACTAGGAACCGCCTCCATCCTGTGACGATATCTGTAATACCAGCAAACATAGCTCCCCCATGCTGGCTCAGGAATTCTGGGAATTGAAGTCCACAAATCATAAAAGAGCCAAGATTGCCTAGCCCTGGTCTAATCTGTAGCAAAAAGGCTCAAAAAAATATCCTTGATGAAACAATGCACGTTCTGTCCCTGGGCGAGGACGCAGGTGGCCAAACACGCCTTACAACACGAGTACAAAGGGTGGCCTTTGAAGTGAGATGCTGCCCCACACATTTCCTCATTTGGCTAAGTTTGCTTAGGAACGGACGTCTGCCATCCCGGCGTACGAGATGGAAAGTCCCTCTGAAAAGGGTCATAATTTTTTTTAAAGTTTTCAACGGAAAGAGGATTGGTTTGTGAGTCCTCCGCAAGCCAAGTGGACGACGATGCTACAGCGTGTCCAGTGTGTACGAAACACACATTATTGCAGCAGGCAATTTCCATAACAACAAGCTACTGTTGTGGGCCAACGTTCGCTCCTGTATGCTTTGCAAGGCGAAGTGGCCACTGTAAATTGGACTTTAATTGTTCCTTAAGGCTTGCTCTTCTAATTCTCATTTCCAACTGAGATCTCAGAATCTCTGCAGTGTTTCTCAACCTTGACAATTTTAAGGCATGTGGACTTCAACTCCCAGAATTCCACAGCCAGCATTGCTGGCTGTGGAATTCTGGGAGTTGAAGTCCACATGCCTTAAAATTGTCAAGGTTGAGAAACACTGCAAGGAACATGCCGCCTTGGCCTTTTTCCAAACGTTCTTGCACTACAGTCCTTGAGTTATGGACGTAATGGGGTCTGCCCAATGTGGTCATACTCATGATGGTCACAAAACGGGTGGGTCATTATCTCTAGAAGGGAGTGGGGATTTGCAGAGAGGAGGAGGAGGACGGTGGGGTCCTTTGTGCTCTCTGAGACTGGTTGTTTTCTGGCAGACATTTCATGACCCAACTAGGGAACATCATCAGGGCTAGAAGGGAGTGGAGTTTGCGGAGGAGGAGGAGGAGGAAGCAGGAGGAGGAGGAGGAAGTAGAAGGAGAAGAAGGAGGAGGAGGGGGAGGAGGAGGAGGAGGGGTTCTTCATGTTCTCTTAGCTTGGTTGTTTTCTTGTACGCCTTTCATTCATGTACTGATGGTGCTAAATAGTTGGGTAACGAAACGTCTGCAAGAAATCTACTAAGCTCAGGAAGCATCAAGGACCCTACAGCCCTCCTCCTCCTCCTCCTCCTCCTCCTCCTCCTCCTCCTCCTCCTCCTCCTCCTCCTCCTCCTCTCTGCAAACCCCACTCCCTTCTAGCACTGATGATGTTACCTAGTTGTGTAATGAAACGTTTGCAAGAAATCAGCCGAGCTCAGAGCACCAAGGATCCAACAGTCCTCCTCCTCCTCCTCCTCCTCTCCCTCCTCCTCCTCCTCCAACCCCTTCTAGCCCTGATGATGTTACCTAGCTGAGTAATGAAACGTCTGCAAGAAAACAATCAGAGAGCACCAAGGCCCCACAAGTTCACGGCCAGCCTGACTGTGCCAATGATTCCTTTAGGACCCCCGACAACTCTGCATGACGTGGTATGTGCGTGTGTGTGTGTGTGTGCCTCATTAACTGCAGGAATCCCCTTCGCCATTTACTCCTATTCTCTTCTCTTGATATTTTCCAAGTTGGGCTGCGCGTCAGGATGTTCCACCTGTCTCCTTTTTTTGTCCAATTCAGGGAGGACAAACCTGGAAGTGATGCGCGCTCTCGAGCGTGGCTACCGGATGCCACGTCCCCAGGGCTGCCCGCAGGAGCTCTACGAGATCATGATGAGATGTTGGAAGGAGAAACCGGAGGATCGGCCCACCTTTGAGTACATCCAGAGCATCCTGGAGGACTTTTTCACCGGCACGGAAAAGCAGTACCAACAACAGCCTTAGAAAGGACGCGTGGCCACACCGGCGTTGCCAGCGTGCTGCTGTCGCAGGAGGCCACGGAGGTGGAAGTTTTCGGCGTGGAGAATCTGTGGTTTAGAGGCCAGAGACTTTTTTTCCTGCCTGCAAATGTGGCTCATAGACTGGCTCGCAAGCCCAGTTGGATTAGGAACTGAATTATGCCATGCCTTTGCTCTTCGCTGCAAACGAATCAGACTGCAGTCAGCAGAAACCGCTTCAAAAAATGGAAGAGATTTTATCCTAATGGCTGTTGCGAAGCCGCAGTATTATGGTGGAAGTTAGTTCCTGGGATGTGTGTGTGTCACGGAACGCGTGTGTCCATACGAGAGAAATTGTGTGTGTGTGTGTGTATATGAGGGAGGGAGGGAGAAAGAGAGAGAGAGAGAGAGAGAGAGAGATTTAGATAATATAGAGATGAACGATAAATGATAGAGATGATAGAGAGAGGGAAAGAGAGAAAGAGAGGGAGAGGAAAGAGAGAGAGGAAAAAGGAAGAGAGATAATATAGAGATGAAAGATAAATGATAAAGAGAGATGAGAGAGATGAGAGAGAGGGAGGGAGAGGAAAGAGGGAGAGGACAGGAAAGAGAGAGAGAAAAGGGGGAGAGGAAAGCAAGAGGAAAGAGAGAAAGAGGGAGAGGAAAGAAAGAGACAGAAAAAAGAGAGAAAGAGGAAAAAGAGATAAAGAGAGGGGGAGGGAGGGAGGGAGAGAGTGAGTTAGATAATATAGAGATGAACGATAAATGATAGCGATGATAGAGGGAAAGAGAAAGAGGGAGAGGAAAGAAAGAGGGAGAGGGAGAGGAAAGAGAGAGAGGAAAAAGGGAGAGAGAGATAATATAGAGATGAAAGATAAATGTTAATAGAGATGAGAGAGATGAGAGAGAGGAAAGAGGGAGAGGATAGGAAAGAGAGAGAAAAGGGGGAGAGGAAAGTGAGAGGAAAGAGAGAAAGAGGGAGAGGATAGAGAGAAAGATAAAGAGAGATAGAAAAGAGAGAAAGAGAGAGAGGAAAAAGAGATAAAGAGGGAGGGAGAGGGAGAGAGAGAGAGAGAGAGAGAGAGAGAGAGAAATAAATATATTGTGAACTCTGGATGATTAAGTTGGGATATGACTGCAGATAGTCCTTGACTTACCACCACAACTGACCCCAAAATTTCAGTGGCTAAATGAGACAATTGTTAAATGAGTGTTTCCTCACTTTACGACCTTCCTTGGCATGGTTATTAAGCGAATCACTGCCATTCAGTGAGTAACCTCGTTGTTAAGAGAATCTGGCTTCCCCATGGACTTCGCTTGTCAGAAGATTGCAAAAGGGGATCCTGTGACCCCGTGACAACCATCATAAATCCGAGTCAGTTGCCAGGCGTCTTAATTTTGATCACGTGAGCACAGGGGAATGCTGCAACGGTCGTTAAGTGTGAAAAATCAGTCATGAGTTATAACTTTGACCGAATGTTTGTAAGTCGAGGAATACCTGTATATGTTTTGATTCGTTAGTGGCCTTAGAAAAAGCTTTGCCAACTGATTCCTCATGCTACTTTCTCATTGCAAGACGACTAAACGTGGAAGAACGTGAAATAAAAATGAACGTGAAATATGCCTAATTTAACAAAGATTTGATTCACTGCCGAGATCCAAATTAGGGATGATGATGAGACAATGGCAAATTTTTAAATCGTTGTTTAAGCTACAAATGATAATTATTCTAACAGAATAAACAGTTAACTATTTTCAATAAAAATTTAAATTTAAAAAGAAATCAAAGTAGTCTTGGCTTTTACTTGGAATTGGTTATCACGGTTGTATCTTATCATTGTTTTGTATGAGATACAACAACTATCACTATTGTATTGTATCTTATGATTTATGATGATGGCATTTTATGGTTATGATCATGCACCGGAGACAAATTCCTTGTGTGTCCAATCACACTTGGCCAATAAAGAATTCTACTCTATTCTATTCTATTCTGCTCTGTTAATCTGTTTTGTTATCTATTCTGTTCTGCTATCTACTGTATTCTATTCTATTGTATTCTATTTTCTATTCTATTCTATTCTATTCTATTCTATTCTATTCTATTCTGTTATCTATTCTATTCTGTTGGAGAAGAAAGTCCAATTGACTCATGAAAGAGCATCTTTCGGATATTCTATTGTATTCTATTCTATTTTCTATACTATATTCTATTCCAGTGGTTGTCAACCTGTGGGTCGGGACCCCATTTGAGGTCGAACGACCATTTCATGGGGGTCGCCAAACAACGCAGTCCGCCATTTTTCCCCCCCTTTTCCTTAGCTGTGCTACTCCCTTTTATTCTATTGGCTTTTGAAAGACTGAATAGAGTCTAATTCTATTGGCTTTCAAAAGTCAATAGAAATTGTCCAGGCTGTCTCTGCCCCGCTGAGCCCGCCAAAAGTCCCATTCTGCAAACGGTGCTACACCAGTTGAGTAGTCCTCGACTTATGACTGGTTGAGTAGTCCTCCACTTACGACCCGTTGGGGGTCGCGGCATTAAAAAGGTTGAGAACCACTGTTCTATTCCATTCCATTCTGCTCCAATCCATTCTATTCCATTCCATTCCATTCTATTCTTCTATTTTACATTCTATTCTATTCTATTCTATTCCTCTATTTTACATTCTATTCTATTCTACATTCTACATTCTATTCTGCATTCTGCATTCTGCATTCTATTCTAACCTATTCTATTCTATTCTAGTCTATTCTATTCTATTCTTATCTATATCAATGGTTCTCAACCTTTTTAATGCCGTGACCCCCAATCGGTTGTAAGTCGAGGACTACTCAACCGGTCGTAAGTCGAGGACTACTCAACTGGTGCAGCACTGTTTGCAGAATGGGACTTTTGGCGGGCTCAGCAGGGCAGAGACAGCCTGGACAATTCCGATTGGCTTTTGAAAGCCAATAGAATTAGACTCTATTCAAGAGAGTCTCTTCTATGGGCTTTCAAAAGCCAATAGAATAAAAGGGAGTAGCACAGCTAAGGAAAAGGGGGGGGGGAGGAAATGGCGGACTGCGTTGTTTGGCGACCCCCGTGAAATGGTCGTTCGACCCCAAATGGGGTCCTGACCCACAGGTTGAGAACCACTGATCTATATTAACATTGCTTCCGTTGTTATATTACTCTTGCCTACAGATTGATTTCTAATGATTGGCTGATATGCCTGAAGATTAATTCTGTTCTTGCTTGGTGCTTTTCCAAACCACCAAAGAGTACTGAGACTATTTTTCTTCAATAACTCTTTATTTTCCATGGGAACCATTTTTCCACTCCAAATATCTCCCTTATTTTTATTTCTGTCTTCAGTAAGAAAACACCTCTTCCTTTTTCGCCCAGGGACGAAACTGTCAAAGGATCGATGTGCAGCTATCTATATCAAATGCTAAATTTTGAAGTCACATCTGAATCGTGGGAGAAATAGCTGGCTTCACACATTATACCAAGCTATGTACTGGATTGATTTCGCCTTAGTGTACCACAGTGTTTCCCAAACTTGACAATTTTAAGGCATGTGGACTTCAACTCCCAGAATAATTCTGGGAGTTGAAGTCCACATGCCTTAAAATTGTCAAGTTTGGGAAACACTGGTGTACCAGATCAGCTCCAACCACTGTATGGGTAGTCCTCAACTTACGGCTATTTATTTAGTGACCATTTAAAGTTACAACAGCTTATGAGCATTTTTCACGTGGTCATTGCAGCTTTCCCATGGTCAGTTGATCAGAATTCGAATGCTTGGCAACTGGCATGTACTCATGACAGTTGCACTGTTCCGGGGCCAATGTGATCACTATTTGTAACCTTCCCTCTGGCTCCTGACAAACAATAAGGGAAGCCAGCTTCACTTAATGAGCACGTGAATCACTGACTGGCTGTACTCAGCGTGTGGTCCTTAATGGAACCGCATCTACATGGAGGGAAGTGTGTAGCGGGGTGCCCCAGGGCTCAGTTCTGGGCCCAGTGCTCTTCAACATCTTCATCAACGATTTGGACAAGGGGATAGATGGGGAACTCATCAAATTTGCAGACGACACCAAGCTGGCAGGAATAGCCAACACTCCAGAATACAAGCTTAGGATACAGGAGGATCTGGACAGACTTGAACACTGGGCGCTATCTAACAAAATGAAATTCAATGGTGAAAAAAGCAAGGTTCTACATTTAGGCAAGAAAAACCAAATGCACAAGTACAGCATAGGTGGCACCATGCTCAATAGTAGTAACTGTGAGAGGGACCTCGGTGTCCTAGTAGACAATCACCTAAATAGGAGCCAGCAGTGTGCTGCAGCTGCCAAAAAGGCCAACACAGTGCTCGGCTGCATTAACAGAGGGAGAGAATCAAGATCACGTGAAGTATTAATACCACTTTACAAGGCCTTGGTAAGGCCACACTTGGAATACCGCATCCAGTTTTGATCACCACGATGTAAAAAAGATGTTGAAACTCTAGAGAAAGAGTGCAGAGAAGAGCAACAAAGATGATTAGGGGACTGGAGGCTAAAACATACAAGGAACAGTTGCTGGAATTGGGTATGTCCAGTTTAATGAAGAGAAGGACAGGGGTGGGGGACATGATAGCAGTCTTCCAGTATCTCAGTGGCTGCCCCAAAGAAGAGGGAGTCAAGCTATTCTCCAAAGCGCCTAAAGCAGGTCAAGAAGCAATGGATGGAAACTAATGAAGGAGAGAAGCAACCTGGAACTAAGGAGAAATTTCCTGAGAGTTAGAACAACTAACCAGTGGAACTACCTGCCTCCAGAAGTGGTGAATGCTCCAACACTGGAAGTTTTTAAGAAGAGACTGGACAGCCTTTTGTCTGAAATGGTATAGGGTTTCCTGCCTGAGCAGGGGGTTGGACTAGATGACCTCCAACGTCCCTTCCAACTGTATTATTACTTAACAACTGTGGCAAAAAGGTCATAACATGGGGCACTAAATAACTGATAAGCCACAGTGACCGAGTTCATACAACACATTAAATCAGGGGTCTCCAACCTTGGCAATTTCAGAATTGCCTCGCTTAACGACCACAGCGCTTGCTTAACGACCGCAGCAGCCACTTAAAAGTCGTTTCATCCAAAAGGGCACTACGGGCATGGAAAAAATACATCTGTACTGGAGAAGATGCCCTTTAAAGCTTGATTCTGATGATTGTGTGTACCATTAAGCCAATATTGGCTCTTGATAGCCCCCCAAATCTTCTCCTGTAAAAAGTCCTTTAAAAAAAACCTCCTGGGGGTTTTCCAGCACTGCCCTTAAAAAAGATGGCGCCCGCTCTCCACCTCCGTGCATAAAGATGGCGCCTTGCTACCTTGCCCGCGGTAGAAATGGCGCCGCCGCCGCCGCCGCCGCCACCGTGAACTCGCCCGCACCAAAAATGGCGGAAAGAGCCCCAGTCCGGCAGCAACCAAGATGGCGGGAAGGGAGGAAAAAAAAAAAAAAGAAAACGCGGAAAAGGCCCAACGCTTCCCTTTCCCAAAACCCTCTCCGTCCTTTCCCCCAAGGGCTGCAGCTGCTAGCCCGGACTTTCCCGGGCGTGGTGACCACGAGGAAGGGTCTGAGGACCAGGCCAGATCGGGCTGGGCCTTTCAAACGCCGTCACCATGGCGACCGGCGGCCTCGGCCAATCGCAAGCCACTTCCGGCGACGTCGGCGCCGACACGTGGATCCAAGATGGCGGCCTCGAGGGCTCTGGTGAGCGCGTCGCCGGCCCTCGGGCCCTGAGGGAGAGGTCGGGGGAGGGACGGGGGTCCCGGGGGGGGGGACTGTGGGGCGGCCGGGCCCTTCGGAGGGGGGCGAGGCGGGGCCTTGAACCCCCTGTCAGGGGAGGGGCATCTCCCCCCGCGACCTCCCCCCAAGCCCCTTCCCTTCCGAAGGCAAGAGGGTCGCCTGGGGGGGGGTGTCTCAGGGAGGGGTGTAAACCGCCCCCTCCTCACAGGGGTGGCCCGAGGGTCTCCTGGGGGGGCTTTTGGGTGTCTGTTAAGACACGGGAGCGGGGTCTGAACTCTTGGCTGGCTCCCTTCTGGGACGGGCAGGTAGTCCTCGACTTACAACCGTTCGTTTAGTGGCCGTTCGACGTTACAGCGGCGCTGCAAAAAAAAAAAAGAGACTTATGGGCACGGTTTTTAAAAAGTGTGTGGGGGGGGTCCCTGCTTGGGTGTCAGACTGGGTTCCCCCCCCCCGATGGATTCTCACCTGTTTTTTAGCACAAGCACTATATTTTGATTGATTGATTGATTATCTGTGCCATCAAATCATAGTTGACTTTTGGTGACACATCTATAGATTTTTCTCCAGGATGATTTGTCTCCCACCTGGTCCTTACAGGTCTTCTGATGGTGCCCTCACCACCACTGTAACCTGAGTCCATCCACCTTGGTCATCCATTTCTTCTTCCCTTCCACTTTTCCCAGCATCAAGTAGTAGTAGTAGTAGTAGTAATAGTAGTAGTAATAAAGTTGGAAGGGACCTTGGAGGTCATCTAATCCAACCCCCTGCTCAGGCAGGAAACCCTATACCATTTCAGACAAATGGCTGTCCAGTCTCTTCTTAAAAACTTCCAGTGTTGGAGCATCCACAACTTCTGGAGGCAGGTTGTTCCACGGGTTAATTGTCCTCACTGTCAGGAAGTTTCTCCTTAGTTCTAGGTTGCTTCTCTCCTTGATTAGTTTCCATCCGTTGCTTCTTCTCAAAGGAACTTGGTCCTGACATTGATTGATTGACTGAGGCGCCATCAAGTCAGTGTCGCCTTTTAGCAACCAGATGAATTTGATTTTCTCTAAGATGAACTGTCCCCAACCAGGTCCTTTAGGTCTTCTAATGGTGCCCCCACCACTACTGCCTGCTTTTATATACTGTTACCCTTGATTATGTGCCATCAAGTATGAAGTCATAGTTGACACTTGGTGACCACAAACGTAGATTTTTTTTCCAAAGTGAAAGTCCACTGTGACCAACTTCTTACAGTACCCCCATCACCACAACTCAGTCCATTTGCTGCTGGTCAGTCTCTTCTTCATTTTCCTACTACCTTTGTCAAAATTGTGGACTTCTCAAAGGGACGGTCTTGATGCTGATTGATTATGTGCCGTCAAGTCACTGTCACCTCTTAGCAACTATATCAGTGGTTCTCAACCTGTGGGTCGGGACCCCATTTGGGGTCAAACAACCATTTCACGGGGGTTGCCAAACAATGCAGTCCGCCATTTTTTCCCCCTTTTCCTTAGCTGTGCGACTCCCTTTTATTCTGTTGGCTTTTGAAAGCCAATAGAATAGACTCTCTTGAATAGAGTCTAATTCTATTGGCTTTCAAAAGCCAATCGGAATTGTCCAGGCTGTCTCTGCCCTGCTGAGCCCGCCAAAAGTCACATTCTGCAAACGGTGCTGCACCAATTGAGTAGTCCTCAACTTACGACCGGTTGGGGATCGCGGCATTAAAAAGGTTGAGAACCACTGATCAATGTTCGTATCACCTTCTCCAGGGTCTTCATATTGATTCATTGATTATTTTCCACCGTTGTCTCTTAGGAACCACATAGGTAGATCTTCTCAAAGATAGATTCTCTAAGACAATCTGTCTTCAACCTGTTCCTTTAGGACTTCCAACAGGGCCACTGTGTAACGGAGTCCCTCCACTTCACTATTAGTCACCCTCTTCTTCTCTTTCGTTCCACCATTCCCAACATTGTAGACTTCTCCAGAGACTGAGGCCTTCTGAAACTTCACATGGGTACAGCAAACAATCTTAGTAAAGATTTAACATTGTTAAAATAGGTTATTTTTTTTTTGTTTCCAGTTATCTGTGTTGGTTATGTTATATGATTACCTATCTGAATGTACATTGACAATGTGTACTCATCTCATCCCGGACATTCTTTTTTTGAACTATTACCATCTGGCAGAGAGTACAGGATAATAAAAACAAACACAAATAGGCTGAAAAAATAGTTTTTATCCCAGAGGTGTAACCATATTAAATACCACTGTATAGTGCAGAGGTAGGCAAGGCAACCTTGGCTCTTTTATGACTCACAGAGTGACTCTGGACAGCATGCAAATAAAATATTAACACGTATATAAAATTTAGAATTCAAAAAAAGGTAAAATTGAATAAAAAGCCAGACTGAAGGTTAATTTAAAGGCAGAAGGAGGGGTTCAAGATTTGGGACCGCAGATCAGTTTACCTTCCTTTTTGTTGCTTTGTCATTATTTATCTGGCTGGGCAGGGCCCATTTTGTAGGATTTAGCAGGCCTGTTACCTGCTCAAAGCAAACTACCTGAGACAGGATAGGCTATGGGTAGGTAACCTTGGCTCTTTTATGACTCGTGGACTTCAACTCCCAGAATTCCTGAGGCAGCCACGCTGAGGGGAAAGGGAGAGGTTTCCAAGCTGAGCCATGCTGGCCAGGAATTCTGGGAGTTGAAGTCCACCAGTCATAAAAGAGCCAAGGTTGCCTACCCCTGGTATAGTGCAGTGTTTCCCAAACTTGAGAATTTTAAGGCATGTGGACTTCAACTCCCAGAATTCCACAGCCAGCAATGCTGGCTATGGAATTCTGGGAGTTGAACTCCACATGCCTTAAAATTGTCAAATTTGGGAAACACTGGTATAGTGCAACATTGAAGTGCAATATTAATGGCAGCGCAGTGGTGAATCGAATGTGAAGGATGTGTGTATATAATGTATGTTCTTATTTGTGGTTTTTACTTGTGTGTAGTGTGGACTGTGGACAGTGCTTAATTTCGTTGTGAGTTACATACTGACAATAAAGATATTCTATTTCATTCCATTCTATTCTATTTTATTCTATTCTATTGGATTCCTCATGGTACATTATTTATATTATCTGTAAGTTCATTTTAATACTTTCAGCACTACCTTTTATTCTCTTTTAAATTGTCATCTCTTTTAGAAACTTTAAGGGAGATGAATGATTGGGATCGCCTGAAGTTTATTCTTATAAATTACTCATATCCAAAAGTGGTTGATTATTACATTGGCTCCCCCATCCCTTATTTTTGACAAATTTATTGTAACTATTTTACGGTGTTCTTTTTTTGACTTTTACGTCTGTGGTGGGTAGAATGTGTGAGGATCTTTTTGCAGACGCCCGTTAAAGTAATTGGCATTTCAGCAAGATTACCTGTGGTAATCTTTTATATGAAAAGTGGTAATCTTTTATAGGAAAAGTGCAAGTTGGAAGTACTCAAAATATCCAAATGCATGTTCTACAGCTGGGATGGACAGTCTTTTAGGGGTTGGTAAGGGAAGAAAAAATCTCATTTTTCCAACCCACAGAGGATGTGGTGGTTACACGATAGAAAAAAGCAGTTAAAAAAAAAAGTTGGCCTTTGAACATTTCGATGGCATGGGAAAGCTACATCCTACCACAGATTGCTCAGTGCAATCTGGAGCTTTCCACTTGGAATGAAAAATTCCACCAGAGCAGGAATGAAGAAGTATGTATTAAAGATGTGGAAGTCTTGTCAAGTCAAATCACCCACATTTATTTTGTGAAGAGTTTCTGGTCTGGAGAATCACAAAAAAACCCCAACAATCTAATGATCTGTTTCTGGAAGCAGGCTTATGCACCAGTTTCTAAATTAAACCGGTCACCTCAGCCTTTGAGTTGGTTCTTCATGGATGGAAGGAAAAAACTACAGGTATTCCTCGACTTATGATCATTTGGGTAGTGGCTGTTCATAGTTGCAATGGCACTGGGGAAAAAAGGACCATTTTTCACACGACCGTAGATCACATAATCGAAATTGGGACGCTTGGCAGTTGGCTCATATCTATGACGATTCCCGTGTCGTATGATCAATTTTTACAAGCAAAGTCTTGTGGAACTGTGGGAACTCAGCTTCACTTAACCAGGTTACTACCTTAACAGCTGCAGTGATTGACTTAACAGTGGCGAGAAAGGTTGTAAAATGAGCAAAACTCAGTTAACAAATGTCCTGCGTGCTCAGTTGTGGTCGTACGTTGAGGACTGCCTGTGTTCTTTCGGAGTTCTGCATTGGTTCCACTCCTTCCTACTGTGTTTTCCCCCAAATAAGACCTACCGGTATATAAGCCTTAATGTGATTTTTCAGGATGCTCGTAATATAAGCCCCACCCCCAAAATAAGCCCCAGTTAAGATCATCAGACAGACGAATTTAATACTGTATTTCCCCCCAAAATAAGACAAACTGGAAAATAAGTCCTAAAATTAGCAAAAATTAATATAAGACCCGGTCTTATTTTTAGTGAAACACAGTAGGCAGGCGGTTGCAGTTTGAATGAGTGAGAGCAGTGGTCCTCAGCCTGTGGGCTGCTGGCACATAGCCCCTCATTGTGCTAGCGCCGTGGCCACGGGGCGCAAAAGCAGGACGCTGCGCCATGGGGCGCAAAAAACGGGCTGCCGCTGTGCCTTGGGACACAAAAATGGGACGACGTGCTTCGGGGCACGTGGGAAGTTGTGGGAAGTTTGCAAAAGCAGATCAGGTGACCCCGGGATTCTGCGAGCGTCATCACTCTGAACCGTCTGGAGTTTGAACGCGTGAACCACGGGGACGCTGAAGCGGTCGTTAAGTGCGGAAATCCGTCCCGAATCCCTTTTTTTTCCAGGGCCGTCGTAACTTTGAACGGTCAACTAAGGGAGCTGTTTGTAAGTCAAGGGCTGTACTGAGGTACAGGCCGAGCAGGAAATGC